TATTCTATTCTATTCTATTCTATTCTATTCTATTCTATTCTATTCTAGTCTAGTCTAGTCTAGTCTAGTCTAGTCTAGTCTATCTTGCTGATTAAATGTGATATTCAACAAAATACTATACAAGAAAACCTACCACTAGGCTGCACAGAATTTAAAAACATAGTTCAGACAAAACACTTGTTCAACACTTTCTAATTCTATTGTTTAATCCTTTGCATGGGAATAGATATTAGACAAATAAAACTTTCAATTTTTGTTGTAATTCAGCAATATAGCTGCTTTAATGATGTATTATATCCGTTCTACAACAACAGGAAGTAACCTACATTTTGCACTCTTTTCTCATCATTGGACAGAATCTAAATGATAGCAAACTAGTTAACTTTTGGGTATGAAAATGTGACAAAAGCATTAGCAAAAAAATCAAACCATACCTTGCAGCTACAAATGCACCAATTATCATTGCAAATACTGTCATCCGAATTCCCCAAGAAAATGTTTTCCTAAAAAGAAAGCTTAGTCATTACTGCAGCAAATTATCAGCAATTCTCAATACTTTTCTAATTGAAAACAGAACTTTCAAGAAATCAAGGTAATCTGATGAGCTTTCTACTAGATCCTGACATGTTACTATAGCAATGACAGGGAAGATTCGTGTCTGTTTCCCTGGATGCTTTGCATTTAGCACAAGGGTGATGCAGACTTTGCAAGCACCTGACCATGTTTACAAACTGCACATTCAAGTCTTTAACCCCTGAACCTCCACACAAAATCACCATGGTTATCTACAAAGAACAAATAGAATTATGCACTAAAATTCAATAGAATTAAAAAAATTTCTGGAGTTTCCAATATAAAAATACACTACACACCCATGCTGCTCTTTGAAAAGAAAAGTCAGAAATTGATGATTCCATAATGCTTTACAGTTCTCATAATTGCTATAGAATGACCACAAAGCATAATAAATTTGACAGAACTGTGTCCACCAACACAGACACATGAAATATATCAAATTTTTGAACTTACTTGAGTAAGATTCCTTCTGCAAACATTGTAAACAAAATGGAAAAACGTCTCAGGACTGTAAACATTGGCAGACTAAGAAAAGAAAAGAAAAAAGAATGTTTTTGAATAAGCTAATCATTTTGAGATTAAAGTCAGTACTTTTATACCAAGCTAATCTAGATAAACCATTATAAACAGCACAAAAGAAAAGTATAAGCAGGAAAGATTGCCTCCAACACTGCCAGGAAGAGTAACAAAAAAAAGACCAAGAATCTGCCAAGCCTGGACTAATATCAATAACCCCAAAAGTGAAAAAAGATTTTATAACTAAACATGAACCTCAAAAACACAGTCAAATGCCATATTTCTACTAAACTTTATATAGACAGATTGCTAAAGAATACATGTATTTGCTTCAAATCTTATTTCCTTGAAAGGAGATAAACTCACAAAGTTCTCAGTTTAAGATCATATTTAACAATATTCCATAACCACTTGATAATGGTCACATGTTCCAGTATCTTGTTATACATACAATGTATTGCATTTCTTAGATAAGATAGTAGAACAGCACTTCTCAGCAACTTCTCAGAACTGAATCTTGAGGGTGAAGGTTCGTTCTTCGAGCTTGTGGGTTAGTTTCTGAACATTTTGTTACCAGGCTAGATAACATCTTCAGTGGAGATTAGTCTTCACTTTGTTCAAACACATGTTGTTTTAAGCCATGAGTTACCATTGTTAGGACATCCTACTCAAGGTAGTCATAACCAGCATATAAGCTAAAGTTGACAAAAGTTCCTTTGGCCACAGTTTCCACCAGCTATTTAATTTGAAACTATAAATCCAGGGAGACCCAATTTACAGACCAACTTCTTCAGGTGGAGCAAAACATATTCAGGGTGATTACCAGGTCCATTGTTAATGGATCAACTTGATTTTTACAAATGCAACTTTGAAACTTATATAATTGAATTTTAGTTTGTTCTGCTTCATTCAGATTATAACAGAATAGAACAGAATAGACTTCTCTATTGGCCAAGTGTGATTGGACACACAAGGAATTTGTCTTTGGTGCATATGCTCTCAGTGTACATTAAGAAAATAAAAAATAAAATACATTCATCAAGAATCATAAGGTACAACACTTAATGATAGTCATTGGATACTAAAAAGCAATCAAATCATACTAGGAAACAATAAAACAATATAAATTGTAAAGATACAAGCAATATGGTTATAATCATAAGTGGGAAGAGATAGGTACTAGGAAGGATGAGAATAATACTAATATAGTCTTAGTAAATAATTTGACAGTGTTGTGGGAATTATTTGTTTAGCAGAGTAATAGCATTCAGGAAAAAACTGCCCTTGTGTCTAGTTGTTCTGGTGTGCAGAACCCTATAGTGTCATTTTGAGGGTAGAAATTGAAACAATTTATGTCCAGGATGTGAGGGGTCTGGGGATATTTTCACAGCTCTCTTTCTGACTCATGCAATATACAGGTCCTCAATGGAAGGCATTGGTAGCAATTGTTTTTTTCTGAAGTTCTAATTAGTCTGTGTCTGTCTTGTTTGGATGCAGAGCCAAACCAGACAGTCATGGAGGTGCACATGACAGACTCAATAATTCCTCTGTAGAACTGTATCAGCAGCTCCTTGGGCAGTTTGAGCTTTCCGAGTTGGTGCAGAAAGAACATTCTTTGTTGTGCTTTTTTGATGATATTTTTGATATTAGGTGTCCTTTTTAAGACTTGAAATATGATAGAATCTAGAAGCTTGGAAGGCCTCTACTTGTTGATACTGTGTTGTCTAATATTGTAAGAGGTGATAGTATAGTAGGTTTCTCCTTAAATCTACCACCATTTCTACTGTTTAGAGTGTATTTAGTTCAAGATTGTTCTGGTTGTACCACAAGGCTAGTTGTTCAACCTCCCATATGTATACAGATTCATCGTTGTCTCAAATGAGACCAATCACTGCTGTATCATCTGCAAACTTCAGTACTTTAACAGCGGGATCTTTGAGATGCAGTCATTGGTATAATGTGCTTCAGATATAAATTCAGGCAGTTTATAGCACCAGTTGTTCAACTCAGGGTACTAATGTAAAAATGAGTGCTTACCAGCATACCAATGACATTCAATCCTGAAGTGACAGAACCTTGCCAATGGCTTTATAGAGATGTTGAACAACACAGAGGAGAGCACTGAGGCTTTTAACACTCCACAAGGGAATGGCTGCAGTCTTGAGTGCTGCTCTTCTATTATTACTGACTTGGATCACCCTCTGTATAAAATTAAACTCACCATAAAACAGTAATCCCAATTTGAAACCCTTATAAGTGGTTTGACAAAATGCCATGGTCAGTGGAATCAATTCCTACCAAAAATTTTAAAAGTACCAAAAGAGTCTTCCCCTTATCAAATTCAGTCGATCATCAACCACCATGATAATTGTCTATGTCTGGGTGTGAAACCTGACTGATCTTTATCCAGATAAAGTATTCTTCTAGGATCCTCTATAACTGAACATCCACCACCTTCTTTTTGCCAAAAGTAGTCAAATTTATGGCAGCCCTCGTCAAGAAAGGGCATGTTATACCTCCCTTAAGGCAGGCATTCTTCTTTACTTCAGAAAAGCATTGTTAGTGTCCCAGTTCCAGGCACTCACAATGACCAAAGCAGTTTGTATGAACTGAAAAAGAGACAGAACAAGCAAACAGGTGGTAGGGCTCAAATCACACAGGGTTACCTTTTATCTGTAATAATGCCTCAGCAGGTAGCAGTGCCTAAGCAGGATGACTTAGTCTCCTACCTCAAGATTTAGGTAGGGGATTTCAGAGGCAAATTAAGGCCAATCAAGGCCCTAAACGCAACTTAACAATAGTGCTCTACATGCGTTCCATTGCCTAACTGATAAGTTATGAAGACTCAGTAAGGATTCAGAACTAAAGTCAAGTATGGAAGTGAAAAAATTAAAGGCACACTAAGGTGAAAACTCTGTGCTGCCACCTTTCCCTTGTTGGCCTAAGCATGTATTTATTTTCTTAATGGTTAATCCAGGGCTGGATTAGATCAGGATATTCCAGGATGACCAGCTAAGCGTAGAAGTAAAAAAATATATAAAACTTGGAAGAAACACTAGCAAACCACATTCAGTAAAATTGCTAAGGTAATGGCATGGATGCAGTCACAGAACACTAATTTGAGAAAGTATTTATTACTTAAGAATATGCATTTTCTATTGTAATTTTTCCACCTTTATGTTCCTGATTACACATGCAATATTGCAGAATAACACATGTGTCTTGCCAGACAAAGACATTCTTACTTGAAAATCCTAGAAAACATTAACAGGATTTATTCTGAGTTCAATAACTAGACGACCGAGATGCAAGATAATAATGTATATAGAAATCTACCTGATATCACCCCTTTCATTATTATCAGGTTTATCCACTCTTCCATTTAAGAGATTAAGAACAATCTCCACCTTAGTATTCCCAGAGCAACTAGTATTTTGAAGTAAGCAGAAGTAATAACTGTAGAGGTCTTGCTATAGAGATGTATAGTTTTAATAAAAGCATAATAAAATTATAACCTCACAAATGTATAAAAGTTATCCATACTTCAATTTCTTTGTGCTGAACAGTCCTGTGATTTGGTTCCCAAAATAGAGAAGAGGTAGTGGAAAAGTCTAGAAAATTATAAAAAGGGATAAAACAGCACTCAATGAACAGATAACGTCAGCTTGACACCTAGCATTCTAAACAATGACAGTTTTATAATGAACAGCTTTCATCAGGCACACCACAGGCCCAATGCTGTTTAAGTGTGGTTTAACGGTTTCAGCATGTCAAATAAATATGATTTCGAAATCCAATTTACAACACAAGCACATACATCCTTCTTTTCTTCAAGTCATTGTTCATTTATAAAGCCATTAACAGAATATCTATTATTTCAAGTTATGTTGGGCATGTAAAGGCAAAGTATTCATAAACTGAGGTCATGTTTAAATCAAGTCACTTACTTGTTCATATGTGTACGTTAGTAGCACACTAAGAATCTATGGCATGACATCGGTATAAATACAAAAAACAGCCATTCTTAATACGGTACCGTAGTCTGATAAACAAGTTCTTTGAATACGCAAGTTATGTAAATAGCCTCAAGACTCATAACTGGGGGATTCTGACACAAATAAACATTTCAGTAATGTGAGACAAAATCTTATCAAATTTTACTCAGAAATAGGATAATTTATTTATTTATTCCAGCATACAGAAGATTGTATTTTCATGGAATATTAATTGGAAGTAAGTCCTTTTGCATTTAAGTCATTGTATTTCTAAAGGGAAAAGTTTACATCACTTCAAGAAGAGGCAATAGAAGCCTGTGTGGAAACTTCCCTCACTCTCTTTTAAAAGGGAAAAGAAGAATTTAAAAACATAAATAGGGACATAGTACACTGCAAAGCTTTTCTTTTCAAAGAGTATTTCTACTCCTCCACAAGCTTCATAGGCTTTTTTAGAAGTATAAAAAATCGGTCACTAAGGCTCTTAGGAAGATTGCCAATGCATACCAAATATACATTTAGTATTTATCCCTCTCTTAGGAGAATAACCCTATACAAAATTCTTCATATTTAACAGCACTTTTTATGCATTTTAAAGTGTGTTCTGCCAAATACACCAAACAATATTTATCTTAATGAAAGGATTATTCACTACTTCTATCTCAATAATTTTTAGTTTTAGGAAAGAGAGAGACAAGAAACACATCATACCTTTCGAGGTATATGTCTATCAAAATCTGGAAACTTGACCACCCTGAGTGCCTTTCCCACCCAAAGGACAACTACGGTAGCCAGCATCTGTAAGAGAAGGAAGAGAAATCACTAAGGTTCCTCCAATTCTCCCTGCTCCCCCCCCCCCACCACCATTTAAAGAATTTCTGAAATGCAGACTTCAACAAACCTGGCCTAGTCCCACACAGAGCGAGGAAGGAAATCTGTAACAGACCACAAACAGGTTAAACCGTACTAGATAGCTGAGAAACTTTGACAAATCATACACAACGGAGAGTGTTAGCTGGTGGCAGGAAAAATGCCCTGCCTCTACCTTTACCCTTGTTTAAAACTATTCTAAAATAAGGGATGCACTTCATATTCTTTGCTCTTGCAACCAACGCCCTTGCAAACATAGTCCTAACATGTTCAGCACAGATGCACTTACAGTATACCTATTCCAGAAGCACGTCAAGGTGCAAGGACACAGAACAATCAACAAGGCAAACTACAGGGCACCTATGGGAGATGAGTTAAAAACATGTAACCTTGAAGGAAGGAAGATTTCCAAGGGATTTTTAAAACAAGGAGGAGAATGGCAGGGCAAGTGTAATCCCAAACTAGCCAAGTCAGTCAGTCAGTCAGTCAGTCAGTCAGTTAGTTCTCTGGGAATTTAGGGCACTCCACACCGCTAGCAGCCCCTCCAAATTCAACCTGCCAGCGGAGCTCATTCCAGCCCCAGAGGTCCATATACAACTACAGGTAGCCCTCGACTTACAACAGTTCACTTAGTGACCATTTGAAGATATGACGGCACTGAAAAAAGTTACTTATGACCATTTCTCACACTTATGACCATTACAGCACCCCCATGATCACATGATTTACATTTGGAGGCTTGAGAACTGATTCACATTTATGACCGTTGCAGTGTCCTGGGCTCATGTGATCTCCTTCTACAGTCTTCTGACAAACAAAATCAATGGGTAAACCAGACTCGCATAAACATGTGTTACTAATTTAACAACTGCAGCAGTTCATTTAACAAATGTGGCAAGAAAAGTCCTAAAATGGGGCAAAACTCACTTAACAAATCGCTCACTTAACAACATAAAATTTGGGCTGCAAAAGGTGATCACGCAAGCTTGGGACACAGCAACGGTCATAAGTGGGAACCAGTTGCCAAGCATCTGAATCACGGGAATGCTGCAAAGGTGGCAACTGTGAAAACCAGCCATAAGTCACTTTTTTCAGGGCCACTGTAACTTTGAACGGTCACTAACTGAACTGTTGTAAATCGAGCAGTAGCTGTAGGACAGGGGAGTCCTGTCATTTCCAGTTCTAGAGAAGAAAAGGCAACGGGCAACTTCTCAGCCCAGAGAGCTTACAATACAAGGGGTTTCATCGGAGGAGATGCTAAAGCCGGACAGCAAAACCTCCTGCCGGGCATCCACACGGGAGAGATGAGCAAGCGTCGCTCCCCTTTCTCCGTTAACATGGAGGCGGCTTTTTCTCCTAAGGTAACGTCTGGGGTGGGGGCTTTGCAAGAAGCCTCCGAGGCGGATGAAAGCAGCTTTCCCCCCCATCCCCATCTCAGCAGTTCATGCAAGAAGGAGCCGCCAGCCTCCCTTCCTCCCGGTTGCTGGACGCGTCGTTTTTTGCAAACACACCCACACCCACACCCGCCCCCGCCGCCCCCTAAAACTTCCACCGGGGCCAGCGCCGATGAACTTCGCCCCGGGCTCGCCTCCTTAACCCACCCGTAGCTGGTGAGGACGCTCTTGTTCACCATCACGATGAGGAAAGAGCTGAAGCCGTAGAAGGCAGCCGCCAGCAGCTTGAGGCAGGCGGAGAGCCTCGAGGCCGACGCCATGCCCACCTCCTCATCTCCGCGAGCTGGAGCGGCTACTACGGCGACCGAGGGAGCTTCTGCTTTTACGCCAGCTGCTTGGCGTCTGCGCACGCCCGCCGACATGGTTGCCGGAGGGGGCGGAGCCACGGAGGAGAAAAAAAAAACCACGGGAGAGTGCGAGCTGGAGCGGGAAAAGGGGGTGGCCTGGCCTGAGTTTTGGGGGCGGAGGTGGGGGGGGGCGGTGGAGAAACGGCTGACGGGCTTGTAGCCGTCGTTATTTGTAGGACGGCTTTCCTCTGTGTAGTATCTTCCAGAAAGGCTGGGCTGTGAGTCACGTCATCTTCATTTGTAGAGTAGGACGTAGTTAAAAGCTAACGGGCGAGTCAAATCAATGTACAAGTGGCGCTCGCCTTGCAACGCTTCATTTATTGACTGTTCAAAGTTACAAGGGCACTGAAAAAAATCGGCTTGTGAACCGTTTTTCACACTGAGGACCTTTGTAGCATTCCCTCAAAATCATATGCTTTCAAAATTCAAAACTGGTTCAGACTTAACGACCGTTTTGTAGTGTCCCTGGGCCATGTGATCACCTATTGAGACCTTCTGACAAGCAAAATCAATCGGGAAGCCAGATTCATTTAACAACTATGTTCCTAATTTGATCAACTGCGGTGGTTTACCTAACTGTGGCAAGAAAGGTCATAAAATGAAGCAAAACTGAGGAGCCTCTGTGCCACAGTGGTTAGAGTGCAGTATTGCAGGCTACTTCTGCAGTTTGCCAGTTCAAATCCCACCAAGGCTCAACTTTGACCCAGCCTTCCATCCTTTTGAGGTCGGTAAAATGAGGACCCAGATTGTTGAGGGCAATATGCTGACTTTGTAAACCACTTAGAGAGGGTTATAAAGCGGTATATAAATATAGTGCTATTGCTATTGCTATTGCTAAAACTGACTTAACAAATTTCTCCCTTAGCAACATAAATTCTGGGCTCAATCATTGTCCTATGTGGATGCCTGCTATACCTTTTTCCTACAATCCTCTTGAGGTTCCTAAGATTATTTAAGCAACATGTAATAGTGACCCAATCTTTTAACTAAATTCATAACTAGCGTTCATGTAAGCAAGATTTTGATTCAGAGCAGAAAAGGTTGGTTTGGAAGATGATGTATAAAAACAACCCTTCAATCCAGATTTTTTGTTTTAATCCAGTCAGTTGAAGAACGAAAATCATTTTACAAGGAAAAGTGAATTCAGGCAGGTGGCTAGAAGCTCAGAAGTGCAAAGGAAAACAATCTGCACATCTATAGGTGAAACTCGAAAAATTAAGAATATTGTGCAAAAGTTCATTTATTTCAATAATGCAACTTAAAAGGTGAAACTAATATATGAGATAGACTCATTACATGCAAAGCAAGATAGTTCAAGCCGTGATTTGTCATAATTGTGATGATGATGGCTTACAGCTCATGAAAACCCCAAATCCACAACCTCAGAAAATTAGAATATTACATGCAATCAATAAAATAAGGATTGTACATAGAACAATATCAGACCTCTGAAAAGTATAAGAATGCATATATATTCAGTACTTGGTTTGGGCCCCTTTTGCAGCAATTACTGCCTCCATGCAGCGTGGCATGGAAGCTATCAGCCTGTGGCACTGCTGAGGTGTTATGGAAGACCAGGATGCTTCAATTGTGGCCTTCAGCTCTTCTGCATTGTTTGGTCTCATGTCTCTCATCCTTCTCTTGGCAATGCCCCATAGATTCTCTATGGGATTCAGGTCAGGCGAGTGTGCTGGCCAATCAAGCACAGTAATCCCACGGTCATTGAACCAGGTTTTGGTGCTTTTGGCAGTGTGGGCAGGTGCCAAGTCCTGCTGGAAAATGAAGTCAGCATCCCCATAAAGCTCATCTGTGGAAGGAAGCATGAAGTGCTCCAAAATCTCCTGGTAGACGGCTGCATTGACCCTGGACTTAATGGAGCACAGTGGACCAACACCAGCAGATGACATGGCTCCCCAAATCAACGCAGACTGTGGAAACTTCACACTGGACTTCAAGCACCTTGCAGTGTGTGCCTCTCCATTGTTCCTCCAGACTCTGGGTCCTTGGTTTCCAAATGAGATGCAAAAGTTGCTCTCATCAGAAAAGAGGACTTTGGACCACTGAGCAACAGACCACTTCTGTTTTTCTTTAGCCCAGGTAAGACACTTCTGATGTTGTTTGTTGTTCAGGAGTGGCTTGACAAGAGGAATATGACATTTGAAGCCCATGTCCAGGATCCGTCTGTGTGTGGTGGCTCTTGATGCACTGACTCCAGCCTCAGTCCACTCCTTGTGAAAATCCCCAACACTTTTGAATGGCCTTTTCCTGACAATCCTCTCCAGGCTGAGATCATCCCTGCTGCTTGTGCACCTTTTTCTTCCACACTTTCCCCTTCCACATAACTTTCTATTAATGTGCTTTGATACAGCACTTTGGGAACATCCAACTTCTTTTGCAATTACCTTTTGAGGCTTTCCCTCCTTATGGAGGGTGTCAGTGATGGTTTCCTGCACAACTGTCAGGTCAGCAGTCTTTCCCATGATTGTGCTTCCTACTGAACCAGACTGAGAGACCATTTAAAGGCCCAGGAAACCTTTGCAGGTGTTATGGCTTAATTAGCTGATTAGAGTGGGACACTTTGAGCCTAGAATATTGAACCTTTTCACAATATTCTAATTTTCTGAGATTGTGGATTTGGGGTTTTCATGAGCTGTAAGCCATAATTATCACAATCATGACAAATCACGGCTTGAACTATCTTGCTTTGCATGTAATGAGTCTATCTCATATATTAGTTTCACCTTTTAAGTTGCATTACTGAAATAAATGAACTTTTGCACGATATTCTAATTTTTCGAGTTTCATCTGTAACTTTCTTTAAATTGAAAGTTCACTGATTCAGCTCAGAGCAGATCCAATTCCCATTGTACAAGAGAGGTGAGAACAATGGTGTATGCAAAGCACTATGTATTAAAAGCTGGGATGTATTTTTAATTGAATGAGCCATTTGAAAAATGTGGAGAAAAAACATAGTCAAGTATTTATAAGGCCTGGAGTACAAAGTTTGTTGGCGAAAGAGAAACATTTACACCTCTCAGCAAACAATCCACTGAATCAATGGTGGGATTCAAAAAATGTTATTAAGGTTCTGTGGGTGTGGCTTGGTGGGCGTGGTTTGGTGGATGTGGCAGTGGAAGGATACTGCAAAATCCCATTCCCTCCCCACCCACTAACCTGCTTTCCAGCTCCGATCTCCTGTGCAGGACAACAAAAGAAGACCAAGCCAACCAGCTGGGACTTGGGTAGCGAATAGATGGGGGCGGGGCCAGTCAGAGGTAGTATTTGCCAGTTCTTCAAACTACTCAGTGGTCAGAACCCACTGAACACCACCTCTGTATTGAATGTCTGGAGATTTCCAGTCATCCAGGTCACAGTTGTCTCAAAGGTGCTTTTTTTTCTTCAAAAGTCAACTATTTTTTTCTTGAGGAAGAAGAAAACATTTCGCTTCTCATCCAAGAAGCTTCTTAGATGAGAAGCGAAATGTTTTCTTGTTCTTCAAGGAAAAAACAGTCCAGATGTCTTTTGAAGAAAAAAAAAATCACCTTTGAAAGAATCACTGAATGGAAATTTTCTCTATCCCATCATCCCATTGCCAGAAAAGTAAAAAAGAAGGCAAGGCAAGGCAAAATATTTTAATCCTTTGGAGCCACATTCTTCTGCAAACTGGAAAGTAACACCAAGTGGAAAAAAAATACCCTTTACATTCACATTTTTTTCTTGTTTGTTATTCTCAATATATCTTGATTTTTCTCTCTGAAAAGTGCTACATTCCAATGCCCCACCTCTATTTCAATTATTGCAGCAAATGACCTGATATATAACATGGCAAAAAATTTAATGAACTGTGCGATGTGTACATAGTGTCAGTCCCGAAAACTTTTCATGCAACAAGAAGTCACTTTCAGGGGTCGGACCTATGTTGTTTTGTCACTGCACCCTGTTCCTTGTTTCAGGCCTTGAAAGGCAAGGAGATTTTGAAGTATCAGGGGATGCTGTTGGAATACTTATCACAGTAGAAAATTCTCCACTGCTCTCATCATTTGAATATACGGCTACATTTTCTGATTTCTCAGACTCCAGGCTTTCGCTTATTAAGTCTAACAGGAAGGATGAACTTGTCATCTCCTTCCATGTCTTTCCACTTTTCCCCATTGAAGAGTCCAGATCCTGGGCTCTGAGGTCCATGTCAGTTGTTGTAGTTTCATTTAAGAAGGGATCCTGGTCAGAGCTGCTTCTATCAGCTGATAGTTTGTCACTGGGGTTTCTCAAGGAACAATCCATTAAAAGGGGCATTTTACAGCCAGCCAACCCACCTGGAACCTCACAAACTGGATTTGGTTCTGGGCAGGGTATGTAATCGACAATTGCATTACTTTTTTTGAATCTTTCTTTAGTTTTAGTTACTTTTAGTGGTTTTTTCAAAAACTCTGCAAGTGAGGATTTTATTCTTGAGATAGTTGAGAGAGTGGGTTCCGTGTTACCTATAGGGCTTTTTCCACCTGCCAGAAGAATGTCTTTGTTACGCTGGGACATATTTTGAAGAATATTTTTCTCGCTTACAACATGCCTGGTAATTGTTTTGGTGAAGTGCCCATGGGTTTTCCGAACCAAAGAGGTCCCTCTCTGAGAAGTTACTGAAAGATTACTTAGCTTCCTTTCCAAAGATAAAATCTGAATGGTGATGCTCTTTGGTTTCCTAGTTAAAGTGGATTTTTTCTTTCTCTTTGCTCTTAGATTAGAATGAGGATGAGTTTTACTTTTGATTATTGAAACGGAATCATCATAATTATTTTGTAGAACTGGGTTTAGGTCCATACATGCTTCATTGTCCTGATTCAAATAATCAAGTGTCTTCTTTCCATATAACAAAAGCCACTGATTCCAAGCAAAGTTCCACCTGCTTCTTTCATGACAAAGGATGGGAAATGATTCACTCATTTGCTACAAAAGAAAGAGATAGTGAAACTTTTATACCAACTGGTAGGACACAACTGTTACACATACTTAAGGAGAAC